ATTATTTCTACTCATATTTCTAAAATTAGAAATTTTATTATATATATTAAAAGTTTTGGATCCAGAAAACAATATTTTAAATATTTATGTCAAAATTATGATTTAAAATATAAACATTTTATATTAGATGTTAAACATAAATGAAATTCTACCCATGCTATGTTAGAAAATTGTATTTCTCATAAATAAATTTTTACTAATTTTTATAATGCAAAAATGCCTAATGATATTATATTTGAGGAAGATTAGGAAATGACCATTTGTATAAGAGATTTTTTTAAAACATTTTTATGATGCAACTAATGACTAGTTGTAATTTCCTTATCAATTAATGGTGATTAGTGATTGGTTTGCAAAATATAGAAACAATGTACAATTTAAAAGTATTGTTGAAATAATGGAAAATAAATTTAAAAAATATTGGGAGAACATTTATCCTCTTTATTGTTTATCTACAATATTAGATCCTAGGATTAGGAAAGATGGTTTAAATATTTTACTTGAACATGTTGTGAAAATATGAATATTGAAATTGGAAATAAAAAATAAGAAATTAATAGTTTATTATTTGAAATGTCCAATTTATATAAAACTGAAGTAATAGGAAATAATTCTACAAGTTGTATAATTGCATCTTCTACTTTTGAACTTGAGCCCAGTAGTAGAAAGAAAAACTTTTTTATTTTATAAGTAGAAGGCAAAAATCTGCTATCCCAAAAACAAGTTCATTTACTGGACTTAATTTTTGTTTACAAGCAAATTTTTCTACTTTAGGTGAGGGAACAAATAATTTTGATATTTTAACCTGGTGGAGTGAATGTTCAAAAAATTATCCAATTCTCGTCACCATGGCACGTGATCTACTAACTCCTCCGGTGTCTATAGTTAAATTAGAGTCTTGTTTTAGTGCATGTAGTAAGGTGTTGGACGACAAGAAAAACTGTATGAATGATGAAAATATAGAGATTTGCATTTGCTTTAAAGATTGGTTGGATGCTGAAGACAGATTACAAGACAAAGGAGAGCATGACGCTACACCCGATATTTCACTTGAAGAAGATTACGAAAGTCATGAACAATAGTTGTATAGCATTTTCTCAAATTATTGTAAATTTTGTTTTAATTTTATTTAATTTATTTGTTATTTTTTAACAATGTAATTTTGTATTTTCAATTTGTAACTATATTGTATTTTTTATATTTTATTAATTTATTCCATTTTCTAATTTTCATATTTCATTCATCCAAGTATCCAACCATTGTATGCTTTGTAATTTGTACCATTCAAATTTAAATGAAACAAAATTCCTTCCAACTTGTTATTTCATTCTTATTTGGTTAAGTCTTTTTTCATTAACTTGTTAGATTTCTCATTTCTTATTTTTTCAAATAGTTCATAAAACTCAATGGAAAGTTAAATATTTTAGTTTTACACTTTTACTTAGAAAAGAATAAAAAAAAACAAAAAAAAAACCAGTTTGACCCGGTTCGGCCCATGCCTAAGGCCCGACCTGTGGCCCAGGCCCGTGGCACAACACGAGCCTGTACGGGCTTGGGCTATGGGCCGTGTTAGGCCGACCCCCCAAGTATATCCCTGGGGAGGGCGGCACAATTTGCAAGCCAGCACGGCACGGCACGGCCCACACTTTGCATGGGCCGCCCACCCTAGTACGACCCGTTTTACACCTCTAGGTTAGAGAGAGAGAGGGAGGTTTGAATTCTTTTCTACTTCCACAACCTATTGCTGAAACTTCTTTCTTCATCTTTCTCTCTCTCTTTTCTTATTTTCTTACATTATTTGAATTATTGTAAGTGTAATTTTCAACTTGGTATCAGAGTGGGTTCTCACTTTCGACTTTTTTCTCCTTTTTTACTCGTACATTGTGTGTATAGAGAATTGATTGGTTGATCAATCAGCTACCTATGCAGCCCAAGAAGGTTTTTGGTGAATTTTGTGGCAATTTTTCATCCATAGTTGAAGCCTAAGGTAGGTTCTTGGAGATTTTTCTCGAAAACCCTATATAATTGGAGAAAGCTTGTTATAGGTTGTAGAGACAGTTTGAACCAGGCGCTTGGGGATTAGAGGTAAGACTTTTGATTTCTATTAGGGGCAGTTTTTGGGGTTGAAAGGTTGTTCTTTGCTTAGAACAATAAATATAGCCTAATAAAGACCTAATTTGATTTTTATTTGCACCCATTTACTCAATTGAGCAAATTAGAGCAGAGACCAAATATTCCACAGATTCCGAGTTTGGACATGGGGGGTCAATGGAGAATCTTTTTGGGGCTATGACTACTGTAGAGTTAGATGGGACCACTTATTTAGCTTGGTCTCTATCTATTAAGATACATGTGTGTAGTAGAGGAAAATGGTGTTATATTATCAGGAACAAGAAGAAAACAGAGGAGGATGATCTTACCTATGAAAGATGGATGCAAGAAAACTACTTAGTAGTGGGTTGGTTAGTGAATTCTATGTAATCACACATTAGTCAACATTACCTGTGGATGGAAACTGCAAAATAAGTGTGGGATAGTGTCACAAAGACCTATTCCCAAAAGCTTAATGTTGCCCGGGCCTGCAAATTGAAGCATGATGTGAATAATCTTAGATAGGGGAAGAATCCCTTAGCAATATACTTTTCTATGCTGAAATCTCTTTGGCAAGAAATTGATCTGATGGAGACTATTGTTTGGGGTTGCACAAAGGATGTAGAAACATATAGGAGGTTAGTGGAGAGAAATCGGGTCTTTGAGTTCCTCATCAGACTTAACTTGAAATATGATATTGTGAGTCATAATGTTTTAGCAAAGGATGTGGTGACTTTGTCTCAGGCATATGCTATGGTGAGCAGTGAGGAGAGTAGAAGATAGGTTCAATCTATTAAATTGTAGGTTATCACTATGCTAATGTTGGGATGAAGCCGAAGGTTAGTATTAGGAAGAAAGATTTTTTTTGTGAATACTACAAGAAGCCTAAACACACTAAAGACACATGTTGGAAGTTGCATCCAAAGCTCATTAAAGGTGGAAATGCAAATGTATCCACCTCTTCACAAGGTGAACAAGGACAGAGTGGAGAGAAATTAGTGGGAGAACAGCTTGCAACCACTAGGGCTGAATATGAGAAGTATGGTTGAATCTTCAGTCACTTGGAGTCCACTGCTATAGCTCCTTCATAGACTATTCCTTCATTTGCATATGCTCACTCAGGTATTTATGCCACTACATATCATGCTTCTATCTCAAGTGCTCATAAAACCTCTTAGATAATTGATTTTGGTGTTTTCTGACCATATAACTTGTGTTTCATAGTTATTCACCTCTTACCAACTTCTTTTTGGCCAGGATATGATATCCCTTGCTGATGGCTCCCTAGCCCCTATCACAAGAAAGGGATATTAAGACCTCTAATGCCCTAACCTTATTATCTGTTCTTCATGTACAAATGTACGTAAACTTAATACCAATTCGCTTTCAGCTAATAATTTGACTAAATCCTTGAATTGCAGTGTGACCTATTTCCTTCATATTGTGTTTTTTAGGACATAGAATCTCAGAAGGTGATTGGGAATGGCCATGAAGTGAACGAGATCTATCTGTTAGATATTCCTGAGCAGAGCCAAGTACAACCTAAGAGAATTGCATTTGTTTTAGAGTCCATTAGTCGTATATTATGTCATACTTATTTGGGCCAATTGTCATTTTCTTCATTGGGTCAGTTGTTTTTTGAGTTATTTAAAGGAATTAGCCTATCGAGTCTTCATTGTGAGTCTTGTGAGTTATCAAACATTGTAAGAGCATTTATCTTTCAAATAATAAAAGATCAATTATTCTTTTTAATATTGTTCACTCTGATGTGTGAGGGCCTTACCATTTACCATGTACGGGTGGGTATAAATATTTCATCCTATTTATTGATGATTTTTCACGATATACTTGTGCAATAGTTCCATGAACACATACTCACTCAGTTTAATACTTACATCAAAATATTTCAGTCAGACATTGCTAAGAAATATTTTAAGGACCTTAACTCCTATTTTGAGAAGTTTGGGGTTATTTGTAAAAGTTATTGTGCCCGCACTCTACAACAAATAGAGTAGCATATAGGAAAACAAACACATGTGGAAGTTGCAAGGAGTATTCTTTTTTCTACCAATGTTCTTGTGAAGTTTTGGGCTGATGTAATTTTAACAGCTATCTACCTTATTAACCGCATGCCTTCTTGGCTATTGGGGTTAAAATCTCCTTTTGGAGTCATCTTTCATGATGTTGAGATTTTCTTTAATCCTTTGAGGGTCTTTGGTTGCACTTGTTATGTCCACATTCCCAGTTTCAAAAGACACAAGTTTGACCCCAAGGCTCAAAAGTGTATCTTCCTTCGTTATGCCTCCACATAGAAAAGGTATAATGGTTTTGATCCCATTAGTGACACTCAGTTTGTTTCCATGGATGCCACCTTTGTAGAGTCAGTTCCTTTTCATAGCCATCATTTTGAAGGGGAGAGATCTCTCGAGTTGTTTTTTTCATCCCTTCCATTGCCAAATCCAGTTGAGTCTTGTGTCAAGCCCTCCATAGTTACCCCCATTCCCGTGGAGGGATCCTCTCATTTGAGGTCTTCCACTCCTGCTCCTCCCCCTCCTTATGTTAGTCCTCTAGTTGTTTCCACTCATTCTATTCTCTAGAGGTGGTACCTGTGGAAAAGGGTAAGGAAAACACAAGTTGATCCCACACCTCCAGTTGAGTCTTAAGCACTCCCGATTACTGAAGAGAGGACATGTCCATCACCTCATCCACCAGCATCCTCGTTTCCAAACCTTGACTTATCCATTGCTTTGAAAAAAGGTAAGAGAAAATGTACAACTCAATGTATTTCCAAACACCTTTCTTACAACTTGTTGTCTCCATCCTACTATGCCTTTCTAACCTCCATTTCCTCTCAAACCATCCCAAAGTCTGTTTCAGAAGCCTTAACCACACCAGATTGGAGGGATGCTATGAGTATTAAAATAGAATCCCTTCATAAAAACAATACTTGGGATATTGTTGATTTGCCATATGGGAAGGAGGTTTTCACTATAAAGTATCATGTAGATGGGTCAATTGAGAGGTATAAAGCTCGACTTGTTGCCAAGGGATATAACCAGGTATATGGGATAAATTACACTATGACCTTTTCTCCATTTGCTAAGATGACTTTGGTGAGAATTATTTTATCCTTAACAATGAGCTATGATTGGCCTCTGTATCAATTTGATGTTAAGAATGCATTCCTGAATGGTGATCTCACTGAAGATGTATATATGTCCTTTCCTCTTGGTATATATGGAAAGGAAATGCTGGGTAAGGTGTGTATATTGAAGAAATCACTTTATGGGCTGAAACATTGTCCACGTGATTGGTTTGATAGGTTTAGTGCTGCCTTTGTTCAATTCAACTACACTTAGACACAATCAAATCATACCTACTTTGTTAAGAGAAAAAGCACTCTCGTGACATTTCTTATATTTTATGTAGATGATATTGTGGTTACTAGCAGTGATATAGAGGAAGTCACTGCTCTCAAGAAGTTTCTTAATTCTGAATTTGAAATTAAAGATTTAGGGGAGTTGCGATATTTTCTGGGCATTGAGGTTGCTAGGTCCAAGGGATGTATATTTCTCAACGGAAGTATACGCTAGACCTTCTTGCTAAGACTGAGAAACTTGGTGTTAAACCTGCCTCTACCCCTATTGATGTGAATCATAAACTCCCAGCTAATGATGGAGAACTATTAGCTAATAGGGGAGTGTTTTAGAGATTACTGGGGAAACTTCTTTATCTATGTATGACTCATTCAGACATTTCATATACTGTGAGTGTTATCAGCCAGTTCATGCATGCTCCCAAAGACACATATGGTTGCTGCAGAACTCAGGAAGGGTATATTATTTGTTAAACATGGACACATGAAGGTAGAAGCATATATAGATGTTGATTGGACAGGAAATGTGGATGATAGGATATCCACATCAGGATATTGTGCTATGGTAGCCAGAAATTTTATTTCCTGGAGAAGTAAAAAGCAATCATGGTTACTATATCTTCAATTGAGGTAGAGAATAGAGCTATGGCTCATAGTGTTTCCGAGTTGTTACAGCTAAGATCTCTCCTTAATGAGATAGGTGTTTCATGTGACGAGCCACTGGTGTTGTATTGTGATAGTGAAGCTGCTACTAACATTGCTCACAACCTAGTTCAGCATGGTAAAACTAAGTACATTGAGTTAAACTAACATTTTATACAGGGGAGTGGCTTCAAGAGAGGTGTGCCTACATTTCATTGCATCGAAAGAGTAGCTAGCAGATTTTCTAACTAAGGGAGTCCCAAAGGCAAAGCTTCAACATTATGTAAGCAAGCTAGGCATGATTGACATCTATGCTCAGCTTGAGGGGGAGTGTAGTGAGAATGGGCCGAATGGGCCTTAGTGTTCTTTATTTCTTTTAAGCAGTATTTAAAAGTTACGCTTCTTAGTTATGGGCATTATGGGCCTTCTTTTATTTACTTTAATTATTCCTTTAGTGTTGACTACCCCATTAAGGGCACCCACGTAATTGTGCTCAAACTTAGAATTATTAATAAAAGTGATGAAAGGGGGTTACAGAGAGAGGTTTGAATTCTTCTTTTATCTCTTCACTTCTTTTCTTCTTTCACAACCTATTGTTGAAACTTCTTTATTCTTCTTTCTCTTTCTCTATTTTCTTTTTTTCTTGCATTATCTAGATTATTATAAGTGTAATTTTCAACTCTCGGTCATTTGCTTTAAAAATTAAGGAAATTGTCATCCATCCACTTTATTTAAGTATATTAAAGGTTGTAAAGTATTTTATATATAATGTTTATATAACCCATAATATATACATATGCCATGTCAACACAGTTCGACCTCCAGTTCAATCCCAATTGAACCTCTTACCCGAACCCTTCCCTTCTCTGGTTCTATGACCGATGCAATTCTTTGAACATTGTTAGTATGATGCTTCTGTGATTTCCTCTTCCTTTGGACCGAAGGGTGATACATCTAGTGTTTTCACTAAGGAAAAAGTGTGACAACTTGTATTCTCTACAATCTCTTGTTCTAAGCCATTGAATTGTTTGGTAAGTCTTCTTCTAAATGTTCCTCATCTATCCATATCTAGATCATCGACTTTTGTGCCTCCAGTCATATGATAGGGGCAAACACAAATTCTAGTCAGTCTCTTAAACCCCCACCTATGAATAAATGCATCGTTATTACTAATGGTGAAAAACTTGATATAACAAGACATAGTGATTTGTATTTGTCTACCTCTGCTACTTCTTTATTTCACCTTCTGGAAACCCTTTTTGTACCTAAATTCATTGCTAATTTAACTTTTGTTGGTCATTTAGTTGATGATGGTAATGTTGGTTCCTTTTTTCATGATGGTTGCTTAATATAGGACCTGGCACTAGAGTAGTAAAGGGGAAGGGGTGTAGGTTGGAGTGGTTGTTTGCCTTGGATTTTGTATAGTCATTGGATTCTTATTGCTTATTATCTACTACTTTGAACTCTGAAGTTATTTGTAGAAACAACTTTTGGCATCTTTAGAATAGATGATTGGGCCATTCTTCTACAAATAAACTAGATTTTTAGTTTGAGTAAAAGTCATGTCTTGTCTTTATCTTCTAATTTAGAGCATAATAATGTTCATTTTCATGTTATACATCGTGATGTTTGGTCATCTTTTGTGGTTTTAAACTTAGATATAAATACTTTGTTTCATTTATTGATGATGGTACCAGGTGCACACGGGCTTATTTATTTATTTTTTGAGAAAGAACTTGAAGGTATTCCCTACATTTAAGTTATTTCTTGGTGAAAATCCTACATTCAAATTTAGGAGGGAGTATTATGATGGAGATTAGGTGCTTTCTAAACCATTTTGAAAGAATAGGGAATTAAATCTAGGAGATCTTGCCTTGGTAGCCCATAACAGAACGAGGTGGTAGAACACAAGAATGGGAATCTTTTGAGTATGATGAGGACCCTTCTTTTAGACTTCCATACACCTAATTCCGTTTGAGTGGAGGTGGCCAACACTACTTTGTTTCTTATTAATTTGCTTCATTCATCTATGTTATACAACTCTTCATCTTATGAATGCTTGTTTTATTGTTTTCCTGATTTTTGTACAATAATAAGCTGAAACATAAGTGCAACTCTTCATCTGATTTTTGCCAATATACTGAAACATAAGTGCAATGAATGTAAAGAATATGGACATGTTGCTTCTAGTTGCAAGAAAAAGAACATGTGTACTTATTGCAAATTGCATATATAGACATTACTAGATGTCCTACCAAGCCACCTAAGGGCCAAAATCAGGATCACAAGAAAAGTTTGCTAAAAGCAATGTTTAAAAAACAGGACAGGACTAGTTGATTGAACTTATTACTTGAGGCCTTGGCTGGTTTGGTCACACCTCAAGAACCGTAATGTTTAAAAACCCGGTGAAAACTAGGTGATTAACAAAAAAACTGATGAACTGGTCTCAATTTCATGAAACTACTTGGGCCACTATTTAAGTAATTGAAATCCTAAAATGAATGTGACAAGACTTGAAATCGTGACCTCTTATTTTCATATATTACTTGGTTACCATTAATCCACCTCTTTATTATGCTATTTAATGACTCTTTATTGCATATATTACTTTATTGTACACGCATTTTAAAGAAAATGTAAATTAAGTGACTTGAATTGTAGTGAAAATTGGCCGAATGGGCTTTAGTGTTCTTTATTTCTTTTAAGTAGTATTTAAAAGTTATGTTTCTTAGTTATGAGCCTTCTTTTATTTTCTTTACAGTGTTGGCCGCCCCATTAAGGGAATCCAAGTAATTGTCCTCGGACTTAGAATTGTTAATAAAAGTGATGAAAGGGGGTTAGAGTAGAGGTGTAAATCAGGCCGTGCCATTTGCGACAAGGCACAACGGCCCGCGATCTATGCCATGTTGGGCCTAGGGTTCGGAATCCACGGGTCGGCATGACCCATCATGGCATGGCCCGCGAGCCCGTAATGGTCATCTATTTGTAGGGTCATTGGAGTCTTCTTTGTCATCTATCCTTCTATACAACATTTCTAGGTCTACATGAAGAGGCATCAAACAGCTCTAGCCCCTACACTGCTTCCCCCTCCACTTCCATTTCTTGGTTCTTTGTCTCCTATTGATCCATTAAGTACTCCACTCTTTTCTACCCCCGATTAATCACCCTCCTCAGATCCACTTACGTCATTCTACTTGTGTTTCACACTCACTTAATTACTATGGCAACCCGTTCACTCTTAAGGTTGAGTGCCCTAACAATAGATACTCTACTATGGGGTGGTGTGTTTTTCTTGGAGACTCCTTGGTATCATTTCAATAATTGACTGTTTCTAAATCATCTACTAAGGCAAAGTACTACACAATGCCTTATAGTGAATTGTTGTGGCTCTGTGCTCTCTTGAATGACATTTGGTCTTTCTTAATCTTCTCCCATCCCTCTTTATGGAAAATAATATCAGGGAATTAAAATTGCCTTAAACCCAGTATTCCATGAAAGAAAAAAATCATATTGAGGTTAATTGTCACGATCTTTATCTTGCGGGCCATATATTACCTTTCCCTAGTGTCTATTGGTCTTCAACTAGTAGATCTCTCTACCAAATCTCTAACACGTGGTTGCCATCAATTTCTTAGTGACAAAGTAATGATTATTTCCCAACATTAGTTTAAGGGGGGTGTAGAGATATGGGGTGATGGGACCATGTTTATATTGTACATTTCTTTATTCTATCTTGCTGTATTTTCTCCTTTTTTTCTTCCTTGTATGTATTTGTATTTTACTATTTTCCTTGTTTGTGAGGGGTGTAATTGCCCTTTCACATTAGTTAGAATTAATATAATTTGTTTTTCTAGGTGGGTGAATACTAGGGGTATAAGCGAGTTGAGCTTACTTGTGTGGGCTGTTTGAGCTTCATAATAACCGACTTGAGTGGCTTGCGAGCCTAATCACTATCATAATAAAATATTTTTAATATATTTGTATTTATAAAATAAATAAACATTAAATTTTTTATATTAACTTATTTATAATACAAATGAATACATTTATAATTGACTTTCAAAAATATATTTTTATTTATAATATTTATAATATTAATTTATTTATAATGTTTAATATATTTTTAGTTTTAATCTACTTAATGTTGATTTATTTATAATCTTTAATATTAATTTTTTAATAATCGGCTCAAGTCAAGCCGAGCTCAAGTAGGTCAAATGAATCAACTCGAGTCGAGTTTTCGGGCTCTATATTTTTGAACTCGATTACATCCTTAGTGAACACACACTTGATTCAAATCTATATCACTTGAATTGCTCTAACATATATATCCATCAAATAATGAATGAAGTGTTGATCATATACTATCCTTCTCTGATACCCATAGCAGGAATTTTGTAACCTGATTCATTCTTGCTCATTCTTACCCACAATAAGTAAGAACTAAAAGAATGGAGTCTATAGTAACAAATCAAACATAGCCTAAAGATTTAAGTTAACATTGTATAATCAAATTTAGCTATTATGACTTGCACTAAAACCAAAGCAAGTATTTCCTTTATATAGTACCTGTTTAAGAGCATGTGCTATGCATTTGTTCAATTAAAGATGGGAAAAACCTCACACATATTATACTTTGATTTTAGTGTTTATAACTTGCACCAAAGTCAAAGGCAAGTATTTGGTAAAAATTTATAATTATTAATAAAGTAATAAAAATAATGTTATTAAAGGAAACTATATTGATAAAGATATATTAATTTAAAAAGTTAGATTTTATTAATTTAAACTCCATTTAAAATAATAAAAACTAATACCAACTTAGTAATTTTGAAATTAACTTTTACTATTTTAAAATCCATTTAAATGGATTTAAGTGAATATCAATTTATGATATTAGAATGAGAAGTCTACTAAAACGTTTTTTTTTTTTTTGTTCTAAAAAACAAATAGACTTGAGCAAACTAAACTCTGCAATCATTGGTAACCTGGTGACAGCAGCACAATATGCCAATAAGCTTTATTCTACGCACACAAGGTGGCAACCTACTTGATTAGTAGTTCTGCTAATCCATCGAAAGAGCAAGATGAAAAGCTTCTAGGTTCTAGCCAATGGTTTGATATAAAAAACAATTCGGTAGGCCTCACTAAGATCCGACTTTGAGGGAGAACTGATTATTTCCTGGAGTTACATTATTCTACCATCACTGCCGATGAGCCACAACTAATTAAGAGCATCCATTCATCCAACGGCAAGGCTTTCCTTGGAGCAAAAGGCCTCCAAGTAAGAACAAAGGAGGGTTGAACCTTTGCACCACCAGCTGGTATTAAGGCACCAGAAGAGGGTCCGGTCCGTTAACAAAACCAATCAAAGTTCTGTTCTAAGAAGAGGACATTGATGCATCTGTATTTACTTGAACCCAACCTCTTGGGAGCTTTTTCCCATGTGGAGAGAGATCTTCCATTTGAGGAATTGGCATTCTCGTCCAGGGTGATCGAATTGTGTCAGACAATAGACATAAGTCACATAACATATAAAATAATGCTTATGTTGAACTTAAACTAGTTCACCCTAATCTAGAATGTTAATTATAAGGCTCCTGCTTTAATTTCACTCAACAATATGAAATATTCTAACTAGGCCCGTTCATAAATCAGGCTTGGGCTCGACTTTTGCCAGAGCCCAAAACAGTGTAAAATTGGGCCTAAAGCCCGCCCTATAAACAAGTCTAATTCCAACCCAAAATACTACTTTCAAAAGCAACATAGGGTATGACCATATCACTCTCCAAATTAAATATTGGAGTTTAATGGCTTAAAATTACCCATAGTCCCACCCAGGTGTAGGATAGAGACCAGATGAACATCTTGGGTTGGGAGAGACACAGGGACTTCAATCATTTAAAAATGAAATGGAAATTTGAACCCAACCCAACCAGTGCATCTTCGTTCAATTACATTATTGTAATACTATCGATTTGATTGACAGGGCCTGTTCGTAGGGGGCGACTTGGGTGGGCCCTACTTAAGCCCAAAACAATTCAATTCGAAATTTTACATGGATTGGTTTGGAATTTTCGTCTTGGGTTGGGATCGAGCTCAAAAATTTGTGCTAGGCCCGGGCCTAATCTTAGATAATTCGAATCCAATCCAACTATACACATTCATATATATATATATATATACATATTTACATATATTCATATATTTATGCATATATATTTATATGTACATACATACATGTATAATTTTAAAACAGATTCATTGACCAACATGAACCCAACCAGAATATCTCAAATTACAATACGAAATGAGCTTGAATTACGAACTCAATCTGGGCTCGGGCTTTAAATCCGAATCATCAGGGTCGGGTCAACGCTGGTTTAACACTAGCCGACACACTGAGATCCTTTAGGCATTGTGTTGTGTCCAGATTCTCTACCGAAAGAAGGTAATTGACGTCGGAAGGGATGACACCATGTGATCTATCTACAAATAAAGGCATGAAACATTCAAAGCTGACAACCAATCAACTGGTATCAGAGTTAAGTCTTAGTATATTTGGCAAGTAAAATGCAGTTAGATCCAAGAAAGCTCTGGGTCCCAGACACAAGATTAAGTTATCTCAAAATGGGTTCCATTCATGAATCATACTGATTACTGAATATCCTGGTGGATTATTGTCAACAGTGTTGGTGAAATCAAAACAAATATGGCAGAGAGATTCTCCAGAGACCAAGAGAAGGTGAAGCCATGAAGGGTAACTGGGCAGCAACAAAACAGAAGACCAACGGTTTCTGAATATTTTATTGATTTCCAAATACAAAGTGGAGTCCACAGAATCGTGATAAGTAGGGAGACAGTCTGGTAAGCGGTTTGGGTTGAGAAGGGGAAGACAGGTCAGTTACTTCAAGTCCCACCGCAGAAAAACACATGACCATGCATCCCTCCTGCTCAGGGGTACGTCTAGTTGTTTCTTGTTTGCTTTTTATATAGACAGAAATTCTGTTTCAAGTTTGTACTTTGCCTTCTAGGTTTTGTTCTTATCTGGTTGATTCTGTCGCGTATCTGTCTGTTCCTTGTTTGTTTATTTGCATGAATGCCTGTGTACCATACCTTTACTGCTTGTTTTATTCCCATATAGTAGATTATAAAGAAACCCTTCATAATGTGCTCGTATCCTCCATAAGTTTTACAAGTTTTTGATATGGTTTTTTTTTTTTTTTTTGTTTTTCATGGGTAAATTTCATGCTAGTTTCTAACTTTTACAGTGGGAAAAGGAATTGTAAGAATGAGATTCTATTTGATTACGTAGGTATCATGCATATAAAAGTGACTTAGTTGGACAGTCACGATGGGTTGTATGGTGAGTGCTTGTCAAATATAACATAAAACGAATGTCAGAGCATTGCCAGATATAACATCAAACACATTTTATATAATACACCAAAACCTTATCCTTCACAGGTATCCTGCTAAATCTTCTGCTGCATGTATGTGGCAGCTGGTTGTAGATAAGGTTGCTGAGATGGAAATATAGGTACTTATCACTTAGTGGTTGAATAAGAGTGGCTGATAGAATGAAGAAGATCTAAGGGGATTTTTGATTTTATACGTGACAAGGATAGGAGGAAGAAATATCATTTGTTGAAACAGAATCGAGTATGTATACCAGAAAAGTTGGATGGACTGGTTGTTAGGAGAATTAACTTTTTGATTGAAGCTCTTTTTGAGACACATGATTATGAAGGTTTGGGACTGAAAGGGAAGCATCATGTAGAAGAGGTCTTGTAAGTATGGGGTGGTTAGATTTGAGTGGGAGTGTGGGATTTGAGAGAGGTTTCTTCTACTTATGGTTTGTGTTTGGGGGGGGGATTATATTTTTTCAATTATTATTTCCAGAATTTACTAAATTTAGGGTGGGAGATGGATTTGGGATTCATTTTTAGGATGATGAATTGTGTGGTGTTTGAAGATTTCACTTGTGTCCTAGACTTTGTCATTTAAATTGAAAAGGATATTATAATCAACCAATGTAAATAACCAGGTTGTTGGGCTCCAATTTTTAGATTAGTTTTGGTGGATAGAGAGTTAGAGGAATTATTTTACTCTTTCTGCCGAGGAAGAATATAACAAAACCTCTTTCTCATCATTGGATTCAAGATAGTTTAAAGAATGAAGCATTGTTGTTTTTTGGCCACATTTTATCACAATGCCATAATCTGAATCAGGTGGATTTTTTAATACTAGTGGCATTTAGAGCTTTTCTATTACCCTGAGGAAGATGCATTTATGGTTTGCTTGGTCTTGACTCTTGACAACATTCTTGTTGCTGACCATTTAAAAAGTAGAGGGTTCAAGATACATTTCAGGACAGTTTATCTATGTGAAATATTTTCTTCATGACCATCCATATTAGTAGTAAGAAGGCAAGAACTTTCTAGAGAATTGTTGTTTTTGCGGTTTATTGGGACATTTGGAGAGATAGAAACAAAATGAATTTTGATCGGAAGAAGTGAGGCTTCAAGATACCATGCTCCCAACTTCCCATATTAGAAGTCGTATTCTAATATTATTATTATTATTGTTATTGTTATTATTGTTATTGTTGTTATTATTATTATTATTGTTGTTGTTGTTGTTGTTGTTGTTATGAGATTTGATGGAGTGGAGAGCAGAGCAAGGAGTTGAAGGGTCTTTCACTGCAGCCACAAGATGGAGAGCTGAACTGAAGATTGAAGCTAAGAAGTTGCCGCTAGAGGAGGGTAAGGTTACAGGACAAATCACTCTAAAGATCAGAGAGGAAAGTGAAGCAACATTTTTTTTTTTAATTGGAGAAGCCACACAATGATTGAAAGGGTTTATTGATGGGGCACTATATTCCATCAAAAAAGTGGGGTGGAAGTGTTGGTATCAAGAAGAAGGTATCTAGCAGAACTTAAATGTAACCAGAAAAGATGGTTTGTGGTGGTAGTGGAATTCTTTGGATACAACAAAAACAACTTGTTTGTATCCCAGAAGGTAAACGGGGTCTGGTTTGGAAGCTATTGGTGCAAAGGATACAGGTTTCTCTACTGAAGAAGGAAGGGGAAACAGCTAACAAATCTGGGTCCGGAGGTGAAGAAACAAAGGCCAAACAATTGCAGGCCTCTTTGGAATCAAGTGGGACAGGAGAGAACAGGGGGAAGGCAGAAGTTGATTCACAATCTGAGAATCAACAGCTTCTTACAATCAGCAGTTCATTCAAATTAAAAAACTGCTGTTCGAAAGTGACAAAGAAGGTTGGGGAGGAGACATATTGTTAAGGTTCCATCTGATGTGACAGATTAAGAGAGTATAGTAGAAAAAAATCAAATCTAAAATGGGAATTCAAGATTGAGTCTCTATCTTCCTTTTGGTCAAAGAAGAGCTTTACTGGATGTTGGGGATAGGGTGATTGAATTCTATACTTTGGAGACTGGTCTGGGACTAATGTTGACTGAAAACTGGTCCCCTTCTTGTAACAGCATTGATTTGGGTAAAAACAATTACTTTCTTGAGCCTATAAAAATATGTGAGAAGAAGAAGATTGTAGGGGGCTTCAATGTAGATCAAAAGGGTTTTTGAAAAGAAGATGAGTGGGAACCATGTGCTATCAAGAGAGTTCATCTATTGGTTTCCCCGTGAGTTGGAAGAGAGAAAACCCTTGGTGCTTCAAGGGTTAGGTAGACAACATCAGAATATACCAACCATTTGTAGTGCGACCAGAGTTCCCATCCTTCATTGGAAATGATCCCACTCCATGGATTTTTAAAGCTGAGAGGTACCTTAAATTTCACAACACTCACAACAATCAAAGAGTTCTTGTTGCTTCATTTCACTTGGAGGGAGAAGCCGTTTTATGGTTCCAATGGTTTCGATGATCCCACCCCAAGTATCTTGGGTTGACTTCACTGAAGCCCTATGTGTTCATTTTGGACCATTGGGATTTGAGGACTTTGACGAAGACCTGTCGAAACTTTGGCAAGAAGGCTCAGTCAGAGGTTTTCAATTGGAATTTGAAGGCTGGCAACTGGGGTGTAAGGTCGGATGGAAAAAGCCCTGTTAGGATGTTTTGTCAGAGTGTTAAGATGTGTCGAATAGGGGTAGTTTAGTCTTCTTCTGTTTATTAAGTAACTTGCTTATGTGGCTGTGTTATTAGAGTTACTCTGCCCCACACTTAAGTAAGGGCATTTCTGTCTTTGTAAACATGATTAGAAGCTAATATAGATTAAGGGGGTCGACTGAATGGGTTAACCATCAGATTTTCGACTGACCCCTCTGCTTCTCTTCTTCTTCTTCTTCTTCTTCTTCTTCTTCTTCTTCTTTTTCTTCTTCTTCTCCTCTTCCTGTTTGGACTACTGTAGCTGCATGGTTTGAGAGTTCTGTATCCTGGTGATGGCGTTGAGGGAGATCTCGGGTTCTAGTGCTGTGGGTTCCTCCTCGTCTTCCTCCAGTTCGTCTACCAGGAGGCAGAATAGCCGCTTGCATCAGTGCCCGACTGAGTACAGTTCGTCGCAGTTGAAGCATTGGCCTCTTGCCCAGCGCTCCGCCATCTCAGCTCTAGATAAGCGTTTGATGGGAGGTGCCGTCATGCTGCTTCCTATCCTGGGTGACGATCTGGAAGTGCTACCTGTGTGAAGCCTTTGTTCCCTGTTGGCTGCCAAAGAAGACCCTCTTCCAGTTGTTTTCGGGTTTGTCCATGAAGTCGCTGAACGCCCCATGCTGAAAGACCCTCAACTGATCTGTAGCTTGTGCTCGAAAGCGCGAGCTAGGTTCATGGCGGTGACCAGGTTGGGAGGGCTTTGCATTTCTACATCGACTCTCAGGGGCTCGACTAATCCAGCAGTGAACATATCCACCTGCTGATCTGGGCGCACTGAGGAGGCTCTAGCGGCGCACTGAGGAGGCTCTAGCGAGAAGAGTATGAAATTGCCGCTGGTACTCGGCTACGGTCCCGGTCTGCTTGAGATAAATTAGCTCCCCCAATGGGTTGCTTGTCAATGGGGGCCCGAACCGGAGGAGGCAGTAGGACTTGAACTGGTCCCAGCTAAGTCCTGGTTCCTCCTGCTCTACCCGGTAGAACCAGAGCTGTGCTTCTTTTGTCAGATGAAACGCGGCCAGACTGACCTTATCCCTCTCCTCCGTGCGCTGATTGCGAAAGAATTGCTCGTAGCGATACAACCATCCCAGTGGGTCGCCGCTGCCGCTGTATGAGGGAAACTCCAGCCGACTATACTTGGGTATGACCGCTGTTGGGGTGGTGATCTGTCGTTCGCCGGATGCCTCCGCCAAATCTGGTCGGCGGCTGTTGGTGGTGGTTGCCCCTTCAGGGCTCCTCTCCCTGGTGGAGAAATACAACTCGAGTAGGCGACGAAGCTCTCGGACATCTTCCTTGATTTCTCTCACTTCCGCGTGGTTCTCCACGAGTCGGTGTTCCAATTCGTGGACCCTGGATGATAGCTGCTCCATATCGCCCATGACGTTTGGCTCTGATACCAAAATGTTATGGGCCCGGGCGTAGGATCTCGTCACGGGTCGGTCCACGGGG